TATTATTATTAATGTGATTTATCCCCTGCACCATTTGCCAACCAGGCCACTCTGGGCGGCAAGCAAGATAAAGTATACAATAGCAAAACACAATAATAAAAATTAAAATAATACATACATTCAACAAATATAATCACTAGCAGGATAAATCAAGACAGAGGTCTCTGTAGCAAGTTTAGAAATGACCCACGAGGCAAAACTCTCATATTTAGGATATTCAGCTGTATTGGCATACATTTTGGAGGTGAATTCCCACCAGTTAACAAGTCATGAGTCATTTTTCTCCCCTGAAGCTGGCTAGCAATGTTGATATAATACAAGGCAAAGTCAGACTAGATTCAGTGTAAATTGGTGGAAGAAACATCAGTCATTTAAGATATGGTCTTAGAGTGGTCCTGAGGGACTAGATAGGCGGGATATAAATAAATAAAATAAATAAATAAATAAATATGCTGATGACCACCTTGGTTCGATGGCCACTCTCAACCGCCCTTTGCCAAGCGGGAGAGAGGCTGACATGGCTTTTTCCTTTGCTAAGGATTCCTCATAAAGGGATTTTCTGGCAGAAAGTCTGAATGAATGAATGAATGAATGAATGAATGAATGATGATGATGATGATGATGATGATGATAATACACAAATAGATGTATATCTATTCTGTGGACATGTCTAGGCTTTCTGAAATTTGTCCTTGTGGATTTAAATAAAGGGAAGGGGGAAACTGAAAAGTCCTTTATTAACTGGGTTGTCACTCACTCTTCCGTATAGAATTTCTGGATTTATTCAGAAGAGACGAGGAAAAGCCTTCCAAATGCTTTGCTCATGGGAATAAAGTGCCTCAGGCAATAAGAACAGCTCCACCACAAAAGAGGGGACTTTGTTTGGATCCATTATTTCCACCTCATTGAATCCTAGAATCATGGACTTGAAAGGCTGTCCAACCCCCCACAGACATCCTAGGATAGCCCTCATCATCCCACACACGGTGCTCACCCTTCTCCCGCTCTGTCTCGTCTCTCTGTGTCTGTATGTTTCCCAGAAACATTACTTTTTTGAACGACAAGAAATTCAATTTTTGGGACGCAGCTCCCCGAATCCAGGCTGGGGATTAAAAAAAGAGTTACTTCCCCAAAAAAGTAATTTTCCCAACCTTTTTTGATCCACCCTCCTTTCCTCTTTCTTCATAAGATACAGTATGATTAGTCCACGTTTCCGCCTTACTTCCCTTTCCACCCTCCTTTTAAATGCCTTGAACAAAACATTTTGAATAAACAGAAACTTGCATCTCCCGGAGCAGATTGCTAGAGGTAAGTAAGCCTTCCTTGTTTCAGTTCCTTTTTAAAAAAACAACAACAGAATATATCTTAGCCCATTCCGAGCTGAGAATGTGTGTCAATGACCCAAGACACACACACAGAGGAAGTAACAAATTAATGTTATCTCAAAAAGCTAGCTTTTTCTGTAACCAGAACATAACAGACTTGCAAATTAAATGTACAAATAGCAACTGTAACATCTTTAGCAGTTTTTAAAAATATTTTATTAGTTTTTCACTCTATCTACATTGGTTTCTGCTTGTCAAACATCGTGTTACATGGTTTACTTACAATTATTTGTTTTTTTTACAATTATTTGTTTTTTACATCTCAGTGTCTTCCCACTTGTCCCCCCAAATTCCAGACATCTTTCAAACATTCAAACCATTCATGTACACATTTTAGTATATAATATGAGTACTATCATAATATTACTTTCATAGTATACAATATTCTCAAGATTTTCTAATAACATTCTTAATAAAAATGGTTCCAGATCCATGCCCCAGCTTTATATCTAGTTTAATTTACCGAAAATGAAAACCGACCATATTACATCTTTACCCTGATTAGGGCTCCCTTATTTCAATTTAATTCTCCTTTTAAATATAAAGGATATGCCCCTTTATAATTCCCAAAGTTAAATATATACATGTTTTTCAACCTTAAGGGCCCCCTTCTTATTTTCCATCTTTCTAAGCGAGTCCCTCTCTTATTTCTCTTTTTTCACTTTGTGTTTCTGTCTCTCTAAGCATTCTGCCATCTTTCATGCCCTCTGAAACCATTTTGTGCATCTGATTTATCTCCCCTAGATCTTTATACACTTGGTCTATCTTCAATAGATTTTCCAGGCTTTTTAAAATTAACTTTGCTGATTTTCTCCCCTTGACTTCGCTTAATACTCTCCTCTGATCCAATATTGACGTTGCTTCTCTTAGGTTTTCCCCATTAATTTCCTCCAGCTCCTCTTTTTTTTTTTTGGAAGCATTTATTTTTTTAAATTAATTAATGACGCAAACAGACATACAAAATACACACAAAACACATAATCGGGGAGAAAATTTTCCATATATCCATTTAACATACATTACTGACTGCATGTACCATATTCTCCTACTTAATCTTTGGGCCAAATCCATTTGATATATAATTCTGACTACATAGCCTCCAATAATTAACGTACATAAATTGTCAATATATAAATTTAAACCTGTATTGATCTTATATTCAAGCCACTCTTAATTGCATAAACCAACTGTAGTTCATGAATTGCAGTTCTTAATATCCTCATGTTTCTGGTTTGTCATCAGTACCTTCTAAACAATTGTGGTCAGAATATGTAATCTAATTTAGGCATTACTTGTACTTATCAACCATTTAAGACATTCGGCAAGTATTTTCCCCATTTTT